ACTATTTGCTTGAACAAGTCCAAAAGTACATTACCATGTTCAGGCAAATTTCAAAATTTCTAAATTTAATCTTCTCCTTTACAGAGAGAAAAAGTCTCAACCACTGAGAAATTAGAGGAAATTTGACTCAGAACAGAGTTATAGGGCCTGAGTTGTCTACCCAGCCTCCATTAATAGATAAGTTTCAAGTACATGACCAGCTCTCTGACATGACATTCAGACTGACTTTGATGAAATTCCCTCAAAGAATAGATGTTTCCTTCAGTTCACATGTTCTTAGGATGTTTCCTTCAGTTCACATGTTCTCGCCTCCTAGGCAACATCTCATGGGGGACTTTCTGCAAGATTAAGAAGGTATCCTTCCTTTGTACAAAAGAGGTGGCAGGCATTGGTTTACTGATGTTCCTAAAAATTGGGGTCAGTAGGAAATGAAATGGAGAACCACAGTCTTAAATTTCCAATATTGCATTAATATTAGTTTATGCATAGATATTATACATTTTGGCCAGAAGATTATTTACAAATTCAGTTTTTTGATTTGCCTGTTAGATATACCAAAAATACTCACAATTTTCAGCCAAAACTCTTTCTGCAAATTAAAATCTCAAGAAACATTGTATTTTCAAAGTGAGAAATTATTAATTTTAGTTTTTGAATTTAATTCTTTTCCAGGCATTGTTTTGTGTCTAATATACAGTAACACCTGATTTGGCAAAATAAACAAAACACTTATTAAATAGATCCATGAAGAGCTTTCAAACCATTTCCCTGTACTATTAACAATAATTCAGAGAAAGCAAAGAACACTAAAGTTAAAGTTCTGAAAATATTGATTGGATGCTTGAATTGATAAATAACAAATATATATTATTTCACTTTAAACCAAAAATGGCATAAGCAAATATAAATACAAATATAATGCTTACTTTAAAATTAAATAACTATAATACTTATATAAGACTGGAAAACTGCATTATTTTAAATAATTTTAAAAATTTATTATGTGACACTAGGCAATTATAATGCTAAAAAGAGAGGTTTTTTCCTTAAATATTTTCTGGAATATACTTTTTTTACTTGTTAAGGTAATTGAATAAATACAGGTAAGTGTCACACAATAAAATTTTACAAAAATTAAGTTTTACCCATAAAGTTTCTCTTCTTATTTGTCTTTCAAACCAAGAAATGAGCTTTACATGTAAGCAATTATAGCAATTTTCTAAAAGAAATTTTAGAACAAAGGATAATGCAATAGAGGTAAAATTGAATAATAATAAAAAANAAAAAATAATATTATTTTCATATTAATTGTTGGAAAAAATAGCAAAAGTTATTACACTTCATAATTTAAGAATTACTTCCCACAATGAGTAACCTGGCCTCTTCAGTCAATATGATCAGTAAACACTGTAATTAAAACAAGCTTTATTGAGTAAAAAAGTGAGTGGACTTTTTAAAAAAGTAACAGTTGATAATGCAGCATTACTTCATCAAAACAACTTTCATTATTTTGGTCAGTCCAATAACTGGGATAAGCTAGTTTAAACATAAATGTCAATGCTCTAATAGTCTAAGACACATCTGTATTTATGGTTAAGGGAAATTAAATTAAATGATAAGCTACAGATATAGATATTTAATATAGACATCTAAATGGAATGCCAACAAGATGGCTTAAGACATATTAATTACACTTACTGATGCTTTTTAAAGTCATAGTCATCAAATAAATTTATAAACATGTTTAGAATAGTAGTCCTTTATTACAGTGGAGAAAAGAGCCTACATTAGGAATATGCAGCATGTTATCTAAAACAGAAAAATAAAAGTAAAGGTGCATTTCTAATTTCATGATTTTAACATACAAGCAAAATTTTATGTTAATACATTGTTCATAATTTAAAATGCAGTCTCAAACATTATCTCACTCAATCCTCAGAATAGATTTTGAGGTAGATATATTACTTATCTTATTGACGAGATTCCAAGAAATAAAGTGAATTTCTCAAGATCACAGAGCTAATGTTCAACAGCTTTACATCAAACACAGGTCTTTTGACTTTAATTGCGATGCTTTTCTAGTTTTCTTTCATGATTTGTGCCAGGATAAAGAGAATTACTAGTGCCTTACTTTTAAGGTACCAAATTAATTTGTATTATCTTCAAATACACATATAATAAAATTAGCATACTTGGTATTATAGTTTACTACTTTTAATGTCATTGAGTATTTTTTAATATCTTTTGTATAGGCATATTAAATTTTTCTCACAATAACCCAATGTGCTTGACTAAAGTAGCTTTCACACCTTTATGAATAAGGTAGTGACAGCATAGAAATAAGAAGTATCTAGTGGAAATGTCACTTGAAACTATAGCATTTGAGCTATAACAGGATCATTTTGGTAAGTCGGCTACTATTATAGTGGCAAGATTTGATTCAAAATTTGAAAGCCAATATATGTTTTATTTATTTATGCATGTGTTTTTGATCGATTAAAAGAACCACGCATTTGAGGGAGAGTGAAGGAGAGCGATTGTGAGCCCCCATCACCAGCCTCTCAGGATCCAGGCACTGCTGCTCAGCCCGCTCAGCATCACGCACTATCGTCCACTCAGAAGAAACCCCAATTTTTAAATATTTGTACAAAAATACATGATTCACTGCTCAGTTCAGTTCAAATGTGTTTTTCTTTCATGATAATAATTCAAGAACAGGGAAAGAATTGCTTTTCTAGACAAAATAGAGTAAATATTTGTACAAAAATACATGATTCACTGCTCAGTTCAGTTCAAATGTGTTTTTCTTTCGTGATAATAATTCAAGAACAGGGAAAGAATTGCTTTTCTAGACAAAATAGAGCTAATTTTATTCACCTTTATTATTTCACTTGTAGAATTCACATTATTCATAATTTTCTGGCTTTTAATTAATAAAATATAATCATAATATTTATACTTCACTTCGCCTCATCACAAACAGGTTGGAATGTCATTTTAAATTTTGCGTTATATTTCCCCTAATCTTAAGTTTTCCCTGCTAAGTATACATGTGCATATATCCATGTATGGATGGACATTTTTTAACCATTGTCACATTATTGGGTGTACAGAATAATAATTTCCAATCTTGACAGAGCATTCTTTAATGAAAAAGAACAAAGTATGAGGCATAGCTTTAAATGTTATTCAAATAGTCATCCAAGGACATTTTTATGAAATTAGTTTTAAATAAATTTGTAAAGGCAAAAAATCCTGAAATAATTAAGGGTGATCAGTACTTCCAAAACAAACACTGCTTACGAAACTGAAAAGCAATCCCATTTAATGTAATATGTCATCCCACTTACCACTGTCTGTGCCTTTTTGATGCACATTCAATTATTAAATGCATTATACTCTATACAGAATGCTTCATAATGGTGCTGCTCAAAGTGTGGTCAATGGACCAGTGCTTGTCTGCTAACTGATTGTTATGGGCCCTCAAGGAGGTTAGCTGCTTACTCCAGAATGTAAAATCAAACACTTAATCAAGCAGAGGTTTTATTTGAGCTTACACCAGAATGTAAAATCAACTACTTCATCAAGCACATATTTTTATTTTCACTAACTTTTTTTTTTTTGAGAATGAATTTACCACTGAAGAAATCAGGGAATTGAGTTACATACTCGTCCAAATTCCTTCTGTCCTTGAGCATCGGTTTGTAGACCAGCTGCCTTGAGTAGTTCTGCAAATAGTTTCTAAGTAACTTACTAACTCTCCAAAAACTGATGGACAAAGGAATTATCATATTCTATCCTTCAAATTCTTTTCCAAAAGCAATTCTCAATAAAATCTGCAAAATATAGTTAAATTGCTCCTTGATCTATGTAATCAGTGATACTAAGTTTTCAGAAACACCTCACCTGTAAACTTCAACAACTGAATGGTAAATTCAAATAGTTATTGCTAGCAGGTAAATAATCCAATTTGAATTTGGAGAAAAGCAACCACAAAATTTCAAATCGGTTTAAAAAATTTATTTAAGCATGAGGCCGGGGCAGAATTAGAAGCTCACTGCAGAGGTCTTAAAAATTCTTGACTTTATGTCTCCTTGGGATATGAGTTTAGAAAGTAATACAAATTAAATATAGTTTTAGTGTGATGCTAACTCCAAGAAAATTAATGAATTTAGACATTTATTGGCTTTTTAGGGCCCTAGTTTTGAGTAAATTCTAGTTCCATATTAAATTACTAGAAATTATAGATGATTTTTTTTCTTCATTTCAGTTAAAAATCACTTTTCTACCCTAGATCACAGGTGTAATTGTGACCAGAAAGGTGTCAATAAATTACCACAAAATAAATAGATATCCTAGGATAAACAAGTAGGAATTGTACTAGGAATATGTTATAAATAAGTGTCATAGTTCAACACAGTAAAAATTAGATGTGCACAAACTCCCAGGACTCCACTTCATTTAGCATTAGGAAGGGTGTTAAGCAATAAAAGACTAGGAAAAAACACATCAATATATTGCTGCTCACCAAAGCCATACAGTAAGCTTACAAATACATTTTGCTATTAAAGTACAAAGCCATAGATTGATTTGAAGAAAATCGCTTCAACAATTATTCCTATGGAAAAATGCTGACTAGTTTCTTTGTAGTGTCCATAGAACAGTGGACTTTGTGAAGAGGAGTTTTGTTAACAAGGTTAGCTAACTGAAATATAGTACAGATTGTTGAACTGAGATCATGAAAAGAGTTTTGTTGATTTCTGTTTAATTTTCCAAACATGAAGAATAATTTAACAAGTTTATTAATTTTCAAAAGTAGAAAAAGTATTCCACTATAGGAAATTGGGGTTTCTTTCATATGGTTATTGTATTTGTTATGAAATATAAGCAAACATACCAATATAGCAACCGGGGCTTTTACATCAGCATCTACACATTCCTCTTTAAATTTATTTTTCTCTGAAATGTTTTCTTGTTCCTTTTGATATACTGTCATATTTTCACATTTAAATTATTCTTGCATGTCATAATGTCAGTTTGATATAATACTTACTATATGAATATTCAAGACAGTATTTCATGTTTATTTGTTGTCTTTCATGCAGGTGAATCTGGTGTGGAAGAGTGGTCCCAGTGGAGCACATGCTCAGTTACTTGTGGTCAAGGGTCGCAGGTGCGAACCAGAACTTGTGTATCACCTTACGGGACACACTGCAGCGGCCCATTAAGAGAATCAAGGGTTTGCAATAACACTGCTCTCTGTCCAGGTAGTGTTAGCAGCAACTACAACTGTGGATGTTATTGAATTGTGTCATGTTACGCATTTGGAACGATGTTATTTTTGTATGAGCTGGGTATAGGCACTTTAATTCGAGTGGATAAGTGTAATTCTTATTCAACTGTGGTACTTTATTATGTATGTGACTATTTCTGCTTTCACAGCAGTCAAGAAATTCCATGTGACTCCTCCTCAGTGCAAATATCAGCTTCAAATTTTGGCATCTGCGTTGTACTTTATTATGTATGTGACTATTTCTGCTTTCACAGCAGTCAAGAAATTCCATGTGACTCTCCTCCTCAGTGCAAATATCAGCTTCAAATTTTGGCATCTGCGTCTAACACTATTTAAGGTTCAAATGTCTTTCCTGTATTTTAGATGATGAAAACATCCAATTGAATGTTTGAGGAAAAATGTAATTTGCCAGCATACTAGAAATATGATGTGTATACATTGTTTAAGGCAGTTGACATAGTCTTTCAAGCAGTCAACAATTTTCCTACCATTTATCTGATCCTATCAAGAAAAATAGTGTCTCTGACCAAAGAACTTACTGTCAATTTATTTCATACAAGTAACTGCCCTCATCAAAGCCATCCACTGCTTTGTAAATTTAAAGTCATTAATGAAAAAGGACAGAGAGAGAGAGAGAGAGAGACCTAATATTAAATAGAGCACAGCATAATAGCACACCCACTTACAGTCAGAATTTTCCATGTTACATCAAAATTTTGTTGTTCAATTGATGCACATTTGCATATTATAAGCATTTCTCCCTATCAGACCACTTTTTTTTTCCTTTTTGTCTTTTTTTCGTGTCTGGCAATGGATCGCAACCCTCAGTGTCGCGCCCGTACCGGACCGGGACCGGCCACGGGATCGCAACCTTTGGCGTCGTGCCCGCACCTCGCTCAGCCAGTGAGCGGGACCCGGTCTGTATGTGGGATCTGAACCCTCGGTGCGCCACCGGGCCGGCCCCTATCAGACCACTTTTATATGAAAATAACTACTAATAGAAATCTGGGCTTTCTTTCAAGAAATCCAAAGCACATGATGGTATGAATCTCCAGGTTTATAATTTTGTCTAATCATTTGGTGGATGGGTGATTGCAAACTTGGTGACTACTACAGTTAACACTAGACTTGCATTCACAGCCTCCAAAAGGGTTTAGGTATAAAGAAAACGGCTGGCATTGCAGCAGCCTTCATTTGCTAAACCGTGCTTGAAATTTTCCCAGTGAGTTCCATTCCCAGAGATAGCTTACTCTGCAGTTGCTAAAAGCAAGAGTAGAGAGTGGGATCATAATCCCATTAAAAGACAGTCTGGAGGAATTGTTTAATGGATATAGAGTTTCAGATTTGCAAGATGAAGCTCTGAAGATCTGTTTCACAACAATCTGCATATACTTAATGCTACTGAATTTGTACACTAAAAATGTTTTAGATGGCAAATTTTACATTGCAGCTTTTATCACAATTAAAAGAAAAAAAAACAGTCTGGAGGAAATAAAAGATGAAGGAAGTGGTGGGCCAAAGGTGGAAGAGGAATGATGCCATGAAGTGGGAGATCTCTATATAACAGAAATGTGAAGAAACAAAGCAGTAGATAAGTAGAATTAAAAGCTCAACAAGGCAGAAAGCTGAAGGCTATGAGGAAGGGAAGTCAGACCTATCAGGAAAAGAGCAATAATTGCCACTGAAAACAAGAACAATCAACAAGGGTCAGTGGAAATTAGACTAGGTGAGAAAGAACATGAACTGAAAAATAAAAAGATTCAGAGGGAAAAAAAATGATTAAAGGAGGTCATGGAAAGGTGAAGACAATGAAAAAAAGACCATAAAACAGGGGTCAGAGAGCAAAAAGATTCTAGGTACATAATGTACAAAGAAAGAAAAGTAAGTAGCTGAGGATTTTAGAAATGAAATCTTCAGTCCAGGAGGAAAAATAGTTGTGGGTTTTCATTTGGGGGTGTGCATAGAATGTGCTGTCTGGGAGAATACTTAAAGCTGGCCCCTACCTACAGTATTTATATTAGGGGTTCCAAGATCAAATTTCCTGTCCTTGACAATGAGAAAAGTGTAAATAGAGAATTAAGCTGCACTTGATATATAAATTTATCTCATCAGCATCTGTTTCAATAGTCAAGATCCTTTCAACATACAAGGATAGAGTCTAATGGCAAATAGATCTCTAAATAGGAGTCTCAGTGGATTTTAAGGTGTTGTCCACAATTCTTTGCTCAGAACCTACTTTCTAGTCACTAGTTGTGAACATTCGTAAGGTTGACATACGGATGTCTCCATCCTTCTGCCAGAGACCCCTGATTAAACACTTCACTGGGCACGAAGAGCATCTGTACAAGGACCAGAGCGCTTCTCCCATGCAGAACAGCTAAACTCTCTCTTTTACTGTCTGACGTCCAGAAAACTAAATAATATTCTATAATTATAATGTGTTTCTCAATTTCTTAAACCTTTTATACTTACACCTAGAGAAGAGGTACTCATACCAGTTACTAGTTCCTCTTCACCTTCATATACACAAAGCTTTTGTCTTTCTAAATTTGGTTAAATAGCACTGATGATGATAAATATGTATCTTTTTTTTTTTCCTTTTTGTCTTTTTTACTGACCGGTACGGGATCGCAACCCTCAGTGTCACGCCCGCGCCGCGCTCAGCCAGTGAGCGGGAACTGGTCACCACAAGGGATCCAAACCCTCGGCAGGAGCGCTGCCCCACTCCCAAGCAGCGCACTCTCCAGTGCGCCACCGGGCCGGCCCATAAATATGTATCTTAATCATCCTTTTTGTCTTTTTTACTGACCGGTACGGGATCGCAACCCTCAGTGTCACGCCCGCACCGCGCTCAGCCAGTGAGCGGGAACTGGTCACCACAAGGGATCCAAACCCTCGGCAGGAGCGCTGCCCCGCTCCCAAGCAGCGCACTCTCCAGTGCGCCACCGGGCCGGCCCATAAATATGTATCTTAATCATTGCTATAGTACAGACTATTAAATTAAGATCATGAAAGAGTTTTGTTGATTTCTTTTTAACATTCCAAACATAAAGAATAATTTAACAATGATATTATTTTTTTTAATGTAGAGTAAGTATTCCACTATAGGAAATTGGGATTTCTTTCATACGATTATTATATCTGTTATGAAATATTTTGGTTTAGCCATGCTGGTAAATATGCACTTTATCTTCAATCTGATATATCCTTAAAAATGACAGAAAGTGAATTTTAAAAATCTGAATAGTATTTTACATAAGTGTAAACATCTTTCTAAAATAACAAATTCCCAAAGAAAAAATTAGCTCATTTACTCATTGTGACTGTGTTGTCACAATGTGGATACTCAAATGTACTTAGTATTTAATTCATGACAATTACACAAGAAAAGGACAAAATGAATATTAAAGTCACTTTCCACAAAAGATGTGGAATGGTAGAACTAGAGCTTATATTTATTTTCACCACAGAAGGCTAATCAAATTTTTATAAATTTGTTACTTCAATTTAACTTAAATTTCCAAAGAAGGGTTTTCTTAATTAAATTTCATAATAATGTGTTACTTCTAATATGAATCTTAAGATACCTATCCTTTTGCAAAATTTTTGCTCTGACCTTGTTGTACTCTCTTTAAAAGCTCTTGTTATTCAGAGTAGAAAACTATGGAGATAAACAGAAAGTAAACTGAGAAAAGTAGAAAGCTACATTCAATTGTATGTTTACTGTCCTGGTTGAATTACTGTTTTATGGTCTACTCCAGGGTTTCTCAACTGCTGTACTATTGACATTTTTGACCCTGATAAATCTTTGTTGTGGGGGGCTGGCCAATGTATATTTGAGTGTTTAGCAATGTCCCTGGACTTGACCCAGTAGATGCCAGTAACATTCCTCCTTCCCCTGAGTTGTGACAACCAAAAATGTGTCCAGATATTGACAAATGGGCCCTAAGAGGGTAAAATTGCCCACGGTTGAGAGCCACTGGTTTACTTTATATGTATTCTAATCCTGTAGAAGTTTATGTAGGCTAAGAAAAGGTTTTGATTTTTTTTTTTTTCAGTAAATGTCACAGTTTCCATTTATTTCTTAAGGAAAAAAAACCTTTTCACTAAAAGGAGTTATTTTATGCATAGCCCAATTTCAATCATAAGAGAATTTGCATGTTTATTTCAAAATCTGGTGGTAATATATTTCATGTATTGTCTATTTTTCATTTCATCTCTAGTCAGCGCAAAGAAGACGTGATAATATGGCTAGTGCCTAAGCTAAGGAACTTAGAGAACTATAAAATGAATAAATTTAATTTAAATTCATTGGTTTTATTAGGATCATTTTTAAATGGACTAGATAATCTACATATTTTTATATTTTTCTGCAAAATAAAAGAACTTATATAATAATTTGCCATTAAAATTAAAATGTCTAATCTTTAACATAAATCTTACGAATAACATCTCTAAATGTTATAAAGTGTGTGATATAATTTCCTAGTAATGCAGTAGTATCTAAAATAACAAATTTTTAATAATATTGTGTCCTTTTCAAACGAAAAAAATTATTTTAGCTTTTTATTAAGTGAGGTAAAGTATTCACGAAATTTAACTATGTAACAATAAAGACTGTAACATTAATTTTCAGAGGATTTCAATTTCATAATTTAATTAAGCCATCAAGGTTAATCAACTTTTCATAGACTTATGGAGAAAAATCTGCCAACTTAAACAGCTTTTTTTTTTTCTGGGATTTTGCAGTTCATATAGAACAGTATAATTTGATAGAAGAGAAAAAAAACAAAACCAACAATATAAATATCATATAGTATCATTAACACTTTATATAGAAGATAGTGGGAGAAAAAGTTGTTTTTGAATGGAGGAATTTTGACAATTGGAAATGAATGCAAAAATTGTTAAAAATATACATTTTATATAATAAAATATATTTCTGTAAATTACTTTCTAAATTTCCTGGTATAATTGATTATATATACATATATGCATATTTATACATGTGTGTATATATATATATTTTATATATGTATAGCATTCATAAAGCTAAATACAGACATCATTTATTCTTATGCAATAGATACAAATTGGCTTTGGTTTTCCAAAATTTTAATGGGAAAAATGAAAACATCTAAATTTCTCTCACTCTCTTGTTCTTTTTCTATATATTCCTTTAAAAATATATTTCCAGAAAGTTTTACAGAATCTTAAAGAGGTTTTAATTGAATATAACTCAAATTTGGCTAATTTTTCCAACATTTGAACATGTTTTCACAAACAGTTGCAGTAACTCAATAACATAAATAGAAGAGAATGTGGTGCCTCACAATTAAGGTAGCATCTATGTGTTTTTAAAGAAACAACTCGGTCAGCATATACATGAAGAAAATTCTAGATATATTGTGTAAACTCACATAATTCCTCTGCCACTTTAGTGGGTTTGTGCTTACCCTTACCAATGCTGAGAAAATGAACATCTTTTTGTTTTTTTAATCATTTCCTACTGTAAATTTCTGTTAACCCCTATTTATCCCAGGGGGTGTCTAATCAAACATCTGAACTCTTGAACTTCTAAGAGCATAGTAAGACCAGAGGTTCAGCATCCAGACAGGAGATTTTGAACAAAATAGCATGATTTTCCTGACTTCTTTTTACTTGTATTATCCATGGAGTGGTATTACTAACTGTCTCAAGCATTAAGAATCAGAATGAGAGAACTGATTGTTTGAAAATGCTTTAAGGGATCTAAACTTTGAAGTCTGATGGTCTTTGTAAAATATATCAATATTTATTCACAGTGGAATTTATGAAGGAACACAAATTGTGTTATTATTTCTGATCAAATTTGACTTAATTGTAGTGGCAATACTTGAAGTATTGATATATCTATAATTATGTCAAATATAATCTTAATTAAATCACTTGTTTCTTTAAAAATTTATATTCATTAGGAGGATTTCCAGTTCTATCAAGTTATTAGAGGAGGAAAAGCATCCTCTGGTTTCATAGCCATTAGAAAGAGATTTTTATATTTGCCACTAATTTTGAAAAAGGTAAAAGAGGAGGATTTTATGCAGGTAGTTACAGTGTTTGAAATTGCTCTCTTATTCAAAAGATGGTGAATTTTAATCTAAGTTTTTAAATCGCAAAATTATATTTATTTTCTAAACATTGTTTCAAATATGTACCATCAATTTTTGATTTTTTTTATTTTCTTACACCATAAAAGTCATTACTTCTGAAACTTTACAAATATTAGAATTAATTTGATCCTTAGCTATTTAACTGCAAATTTAACTTCAGAAGATCACCTCTGTTATGAGATATTTAGTATTCTGTACTACTAGTTGATGTTACTTTGACTAAAGAGTAACCATGAGCAAGAGTAACCATTTGCAGTAAACAAAAGGAAAAGTTTAAACTTTATAACATGAATTAATTGTTCATATACAGAAAAAAGCTTATACAGTTTTCCATTATTGTAACAAATTTTTGAATTAACTTTTGCATTTTATAGCAAATAAGAATGTTATCTCGAGTTTTTAAAATATCTTCATACTTATATGTTTGATAGAAATATTTGCCATTAACCTTCTGCTTTTGTTGTTGAAGCTTCTTTGCTTTATTACAGTACATGGAGTTTGGGAGGAATGGTCACCATGGAGTTTGTGTTCATTTACATGTGGTCGAGGCCAAAGAACCAGAACAAGGTCGTGCACACCTCCTCAGTATGGAGGAAGGCCATGCGAAGGACCTGAAACACATCATAAGCCTTGTAATATTGCTCTCTGTCCAGGTGAGCATATTCTGCATTTGATGAACTTTGCATTTACGTACTTTATATATGGTCCCTAGGGTACACTACATAGGAGATATTAAGAGTACAATTTTCATTTTGTCACAATGGAGAGTGTGTTCTTTGGCTATTGTTTCTTGCCTAAAATTGAGTAATTTTCCTGATTCTGCTATATGTAGTGGTGTTTAATATTTCCTTGAGTGAGTACCAATGAATGCTCAAATGTATTTTACTTCTATATTAATGTTTTCCACTCAGATTTTATCTACACTTGGTTTTCCAACCTAGGAAAGTTATAAGGATCCCTAAAGACTTGGAAGTCTTTATACTGTAACTAGAGAGATGATTTAGAGGTATTCCTTCCAATGTTATCCTCTCACACTCATTCAATTAAGGAGTGGGAATGTACCACTGACCATGTATGAAAATGACAGATATTTGCTAGGAAATCAAACTTTATAGATATACTGCTAGGTGCATAAAGGGATTAGATCATAAATGGCACATAATCTTTATGTGATTATGAGGAATATATGGTCTGTTCTTAGAGTGTGTTTATGTTATCTTAAATTTTTCTTTCCTTTAAAATGTTGCAATTTTATTTTTTCTATTCTTAATAATTAATTTCAACCATTATGAGAGACAGAAGCCTTCATGTCCAGAAAGTTTTACAGAATCTTAAAGAGGTTTTAATTGAATTATTAGGTTATTTAGGTTATTCAAACATTCAAACATAATACAAGTACCTTCAAAACGTATAAGACTGATCTCTAGCCTCAAGAGGTTCTCAAAAAGGGAGAAAATACACACACATAAATGATAGACCCTCCCAGAATTAGCAAAGGCACATTTTAAGGGAAAAGATAGACATGGACGGTGAATGGTAAAAGCCTACAAGATGCGAAAAAAAACAATATAAATAATCACTCATCTATTCCTCAGGAGATTTTCTCACTAGCCTATTTAATCATACATCTGCATGCCAAGCTGGGACCACATTAATGTCCTCCAAACACATTATCCAACTCACATTTAGTCCCATTTGTACTCTATATTCCCAAGTTAATATCTTACATTATAAGCCAATGATTCAAAGTTCTTCTGGAAATTTTAAGTATTCAAAACATCTGAAGAATGTGAAAAATTATCCAATATGTAGATGTGCAACAGTCATCTGACAAGTTTGACTGTTCCCTTTACTTCAGAGAAGGACTACTAGGTTCCTATACTTAGTGACATACAAGATGAAGGAGTTTTATTAAATAATATCATTACTTACTTCCTAGACTTTCATGAATTCTGTGAGTTATAAGTATGTCATACATGTCAATATTCATGTAATTATGAAAGTTGGGAGTCAAAATCGTGATTACTTATTTGTATATTACCTCCAGAAAGTCTATATGTGAGATCAGTTATAGTCTGTCTTATTTCTCTCTATACATAAACACACTAGTAGGCACAGACACACACATATATATATTTAGGCACCCCCTTTTTTCCTGGTATTTGGGAAAGCTTATACAAATTTTCAATATTTATTTTTTTTAGAGCTGAGCCGTCACATTTACAGAAAACTCAATATAGTTTACTCGTATTTGTCCATTGAGTGTGAAAAATAGATAATATGAAATAAGAAATAATAGCTAACTACAGAATCTCTTTTAATATATTAGTTTTTATTTCTTCTTTTACCTCACTTGATCTCCATGAGTACAAAGATATAATGGCATTGATCATTTGAAATGTTGTGAATCAGGTTTCTCATAGCCTATTTTCCATGAGATTTTCTAGGAGTGGAATACTTGAATATCAGTAGATAAGAAGGCTATATTGTCAGAATTCAGATATGAAAACTTATTTTCCTCAGTTGATATAGTTGTGGGTTTATCACTCAAGTAGTAACTGTATGTGTTTTCAAGCTAGTTGGTTTTGAATGGTATTACTCTATCATTGGAATCACTCTAAGACCAACAAAATTGATGGCTTAGTTTTGTGTAGATCCTTCATTTTTGGACATTTTGTTTCCATTATTTGTAATTCTGGCCTAGCTCATGTTCTCTCAAAAGTGAGCAATATGGGTTCATCCTTGAGTACTTAAACTTATCATGTGTCATTTCTGACTCCTGCTGTTTCCATTCTTGAATGTAGTTGCATTGCAAAAGATGTAAAATTCTTACCATGTTGTATCCTAATTTACTTACCATATGAAAAGGAACTTTAATAACTCTAATTAAAAAAAAATATTTCTATAATTTACCAAAAATTGTGGCATTATGATTTTAAAACATGTAAGATTCATTTGGGTGGGGCAAACGTTTAGAATTTTCCTGTGATCTGATTTTCTTATAGCTAAACTCAAGCACCTTCACTGAATATAAAAGCGTTATCAAATATCAACTAGATGTATGACACTATTGAGAAGAATATATCGTCCTTGATCTCAAAAAATCTATTCAGGAGATTCAGACACACGCATGTGAAAAGTTAAATGCAGTTCTGAAAAATGCATATAAATACTCCAGCTTCAATGCAAGGTGGTAACTTGAAGATGCAGTAGTTTCAGCTAATATTTCTTGTAACCATTCTATCTGAGATCCCTAAGTCATCATCTTAAGGGATAAAGTTATGGTAGGAAGTGCATCAGCAGTGAAGAAAGTAGGTCAAGACCTAAACACTGGTTCTCCTGGGTTAAGCCTAGTATGAAATACTGACAAGAAAAGGACAGAATAAATATTTGAAACCATAAATTGAATCTCTAACTACTTACTACTTTTGCAAGATTTGACAATATGGGTTGTGGTAATGGGCATGACATTTCAGTGTGTGATCATGCCAGAACAGCATTCCAGCATCTTGCTTTTTAGAAACACACATATTACCCATATAATGAAGTAGACACTGTGTAGGGATTACACGTATTGTTCACATCAAATAAGGAAATATTTTTATCTATGCAAAGTTTGATATCTACCTAGAAATAGATAATGTCTTATCAAATAGTTTCTTTAGTCAATGTCCAACTTTCTCCCACTTCTTTTGAGGTGAGGGAAAACCATCTTCTTGGGATCCATATGCAAAGAGATGAAAGAAAGGAAAGGTAGATTTGGTATTTCCTAGTTTGAGTCTTTATTTACAGTTCTAATTCCTATGCCATGTCTGAGAACAGAGGCTGACGTTGATTGGGGATATGGGCAGGAGGCACAGAGCAACAAAAGGAATTCACTGTTATATATTCATTGGCTCATAATCATAATGTTACATCCTTTTCCTCCTTTTGTCATCTATACTAATAACTGAGATACTATGAAAAGGTGTGTGTATGTGAGTGTTCAATAGTTTTAGTGGTCTGTTTCTATTATCTCACAAAACTTAAAGCTTCTGGCAGTCCATCCTGTGTTTTCTATTTTCTCGCATTTTCATTGCAGTCACTAATTGACCACTGAGCTTGTAATGGTATTAACTGACATATTTGATGACAAGGAACTTCTCTTCCACTTCCTGTTTATCTCTCCATAAAACTTTGTACCTGATAGTATCCAATAAATTACTCTTGAATGGACTTTCTTGGCAAGCATATATCTAAATTTGTAATACTCATCCCAGTTTTTTAGAGGTTATTTCCTATATTTATTTAGTAATATATTACCTGTAAGGTGATATAGTGAAAGGATCTTGGACTTTTGCAAGAGAATACATATATTTAAATGGATTTGTGTCTTTTAATATGACTGTGCTCTTCCTCTGATCCTTGGTTTATTCATCTACGAAATGGGGACAATATATACAGGACTGATAAGAGGACAATGTAGATGCTACAAGGGAGAGTTCCTGGTAAATAGCAAATGCTGTGAAAGTTTTAGTACTGTTTTGTCTGTGCCCTCCAGCCAAAGCCCATCAGGATCACACCTGTAGTTGAGCAAGCTAAGTTCATTACTCTTGTCAATGAGCAGAAACCAGCACAAGGAACTGTGGGGCATTTCAGTGACAGGGTATTAGAAAAGAATTATTAAGGGATTTAGGCAGTGTCAGGTGACTTTGGAGAGGGTTAAGGTAGAAGGGCTTTGTTCTGGATTGAATCCTGTTAGCAAGAGGGAACAATTCTATGACTGGGTATCATAATAAATCATCAAGGCAGAAGGAAGACTAGCTACAATTGGTAAAGAAGTAGCAGTCCCTCATATTACCTGAGAGAGGAATGTTTGTTACTTTGTGGGTTGCACTGTGACTTTGTTATTGTCTCTGAAGTGACTTTGCCTGATATTAATGTTCTCTAAGAGGGTTTAGGTCCAACAAGAGATAACACGAACTAGGTGTTAGCACCAGGCAAGCTGCCAACAACACTGAAGTCCAGCTTAATTGTCAAACCAGTCGCTGGATGTCTTCTAATGGTGACTCCTCTAGAGTGATTTTATCACTTTAGAAGCTTCTGTCTTTAATGGTTTTAATTTTTATTAATATTTAACTGGAGAAAAAGTCAGACATAATGAAATGTTTGCATTTGCTAGTAGGTCTTTTATTAAAATTATATAGATATACATATATCCCCAAAATAAAATTTATATGGAGAATATAAAAGTTTAAGTTCTTAGTCTAAAGCCTCAAGCTTTTAGTAATTTCCTTCATACTATTTTACTTTATAGTAAAAATACTTGCCTTCAGTCAGTGTTAAAGACTGGAGGATTCATTTGGTCCTCCTTTTTGCTTCAGTTTTTCCATTTCTCAACCTGACATATAATCATGCAATAGAGTACAAATAATATAGAAGATAAGGATAAATAATAATTGACAGATTAAAGACTAAAATAAATGAAAGATCTATTGGCAAATAAGTTTTCATGTATTTATTTAAATATGTATAAATGAATTTTATTATATGATTCATTGGGAAAAAGAGAGGTCTGGAATTCAGAAGACTTGATTGAGGTTCAGTCCCAGTTTTTAATTAGAAATATTTACTTATGCAATATTCATCTTCTTTATTTCCTCAATTTTGTCAT